GAACCGCTGAAGGAGTTTCTATTAAGCAGTCCTTCCTGAGAGACAGAAATAAACCACTCCAGCTACCTTCTCAGCATACACTCCACTGGTCAAAGTACCAACAAGTGCTCGGTTAAGCACTCTCTACTCTGCGTACTGTAATAGATGTTGCCTGCTGCCCCATCAACAGGGACTTATCATGCTAACTCCGTGTCATCAAGCACGATTAATAAATTTTACATTCTTCTATCTCCCAAATCATCACAGTGGGAAAGTTAAGACAAATATTTAGTGTGATGTCTTGGTTCCTAATGAAATGGATGGGAATTTTGCATTAGAGTAAATAGAAATCTCAAGGTTGATTTACACTGGCACAACAACATATCTCTCGTGCTGACTTTCCAAAATGCTTGACATTGAACTGGTTTTTGGCTTTAGAAACTCTCCAGGTAAATGACAAAGGTATTAGCATTCCTAGCCTATGAAATATTCCCTTTTCAGAACTTACATAAATTAGCAAATGCTATGCTAGGAGCAACAACTGCTCAGTTCTCACTTCATTTTGTGTAAGATACCCCTAAAAATATACAGTCACTTGGAGATTCGCAGGTTATCAGATTCAATTTCTAATCATTCTATACCAGGACTGTTCAGGCAAACAGTTTTTGTGTAAGATACCCCTAAAAATATACAGTCGCTTTGGAGATTTGCAGGTTATCAGATTCAATTTCTAATCGTTCTATACCAGGACTGTTCAGGCAAACAGTCTTTTTGTATTTGAAGTTACAGAATTCTTGTTTCTATTTACCTTGTATCCTTGGTTAATACCATTGATGAATTGCTGGGGTGGAGGGTTCCAGAGGAACTGGATGGTTGTGGAGTTCACGGCTTCGACTTGCACGTTCTGCGGTGGAGCTGTAGGTACTGCTCCCGGTCAGCAGAGAAGGAAAGAAAATACAACAGAGTGGAGGAGGGATGAGGGGACAAGAGAGAAAAGCTGTTCACTGCCACTCACGAGTCACACAGTAATTACAGCCTTGAGAGAAGGATGCACTTCTTGTGAAACCATAACCAGCAATGATTCGGAACAAAGGGTAATCGGGTTAATTTCTCACTCTGCATTGGAGATTCTTTCAAGGGGAGGGGATGAAATGATTTCTGCAGCTTATTATTCCACAGATGAGCTTCTCATAAAGTCTTGAGACAGAAGCTAGGTAATGATAGGTGAACACATCTCTTTCAATTATCCATGACTGCACAGAGAACGAACAGTTTCAGAAAGAAATTTCTTGAGTCTTTTAATGCTGCACAACTCCCCCAGATCAGACAACCAAAGATGAAGTCCGCGCAATTAAAGTTCTAATTGTGAATTATAATCTGTCGACAGCATCTGTTTATTATTTACTGCTGCTTAAGGAATTAAGACCAGTCATATCACATGTAATAAAGATTTATCTTGGGAATTGGAGATGTTCTCATTTTATCTTGATATGATATTCATTCATGTATACTGAATTGATTATACATATTCTGAGTCAATATATGCTCTAATCTACTAAAAGTTGCATAAACATTTTATGCCAAGTATTTAATTAGACAGATGTTTTCTCAATACAAAAGAAAGCATGGAACATAAAGGCATACTGCCTTCAAAGAACAAAAAAAACCCAACTAAATATTTTGCCATTTAATATAATGTCTCTTTAAATACCTTGCAGGCAATTTCTTCGAGTTATTGCTTTAGGAAGTCATTTCAATAGTTCTCAGAGGAAAAGATACTAATAGATAGGTCTATTTTTCTGAAATTATTAAGTTTAAAAATAAAGCTGATGTTTGAGCATCTAAAAAATGGACTAATACCCTTGAATCCCATAAAATAAGTTTAATAAAGCTTCAAAAATATTACTATTGACTGCCATGTGCGTTTGTATTCCACAAAAGAGGAACTATCCACAAGTGGTTTTGAAGCCTGGAAAGCTTTGTTCCTTCTGCTTCCAAGAGAAAATTTTTACCAAAGCCCAATGACCTAAGTTTCTAAAAAGTATCCACAATTCCCACTGAGAAATGCTGGTTTGCTCCATACTTTTCAAAGACAGGTCACAACTTTTAAGGCTTCAAAGTACTTTTGGAAGATGAGTCTTTGTATGGAGAACAAATCAAGACATTAAGTTCAAAAATGTAAAATGCCCCTTTTTCCACCAAAAGCTGTGGAAGCTTTTGACACAAAGGGGCATTATTCTTAACTAGTACAACAAGCTATAGTGAGACTGCAGCCAACAGAGCGAGGACAGCATACACTATCAAAGACATCCACAACCTAGAAACATCAACACAGAAAAATGGAAAAATCCTCAAAGACATCAGGTGTGAAATGACAGGAACATCCACTTTCCTGCCCTGTGTCACACTAAAACTCCCTGATGTCTACCATGGCTTGAAAATTTAGCTCTGCACATTTTTTTTAATCTCAGAAACTGCATATTAATTAGAATTTTCTTGCCCTAATTTAAAACCTGATGTCACAATTTATGAACTATGCATAATTATTAAGTTCTAAACCCAGAATTTATCTGATACTACTCTAAATTTTCATTAGAGTCTGGGTCCTACTTCCTGCCATGTCTTATAATTCCCTGTATGCTTTTGGAAGGCTATAATATTATCTTAATGATCTGTAGACATCATAAAGTTTTTGTAGTTAAGAGATTCACCAAATCATCCTGATATTCAGTCATATATATTAAAGTCACTCTATAGTCATAACTGCTTTGGCTACAGTCCCCTATTAAATGTATTTGTTCTTATTAATGTTCTTTGATGAAACTGTTTATTATGAGAGCCACAAGATGTATTTCAATTTGCTTTTGTGTGCAATACTTTGTACAATTAACGATTAACATGAATAATACTTTTAAAAAAATCAGAATTCTTACTTTCCTGCATATTTGCATATTCGTATATTGTAACTGCCAGAGATTTGTTATTGCAGAAGAAAATTTTATTAGATGCCTTCGAGTTAGTTTGTTATCAGAAAGTCACCTGGATGTTATTGATAGATTAATCTCCTTCCGTCACGAAGATTAAATCAGCTGAGGATCATCCTCTCCACTCATGCCTCTTCCTGCTGTTGAACTGCTACGTTACGACTCCATTCGTACGTGCTAGGCTGATTTTGTAACACGGGTCTGGTACAGAAAATCCATACATAACCCCCGTGCTGCCCACTGACAGCCACGCTTGAAGAAATGCAAAACTTTAGCAGCGGCAGGAAGAGTCTGTTTTTCCCAGAGCATAAAAAACACATAGAGGTGACCTACGAGTTAATGGTACCACCAGTCCCAGCAGGACACTCCCATTGCCTTTGTAATTTTCCTGAAACACGGATTAGCATGCATATTGCTGCTTCATTTCTGTGGGTATTATTTGCTTTAGCGGAGGATCCTATGAATGCTGTACAACGAATAGCAAATTCCCAGTGATCTCAATAACACAAGGATTTTATTCTAAGGGTCTGATGAGTCTTTTAGATAAAATTCAAAATACTGCAAATTTTTTAAGAGAGGAAAAAACCCGCATCAGCGTGCTCCAAGATTTCATTTGCAGTCCTTACAGTCCTCAAAAAAAGCTCAGGCAAGCACTTTAGGATATATTTGCTACAGTTTTAGAAATGTGGATAACCAAATGCAGTAGTTATTTCTTTTGAAAAGGGAAATATTTTTCTTTCATTAGGAGATAATTTCTTGAAACAAGAATAAACCATCATAGCACAAAAAGTGCCTGCAACAATAAGAAAAATGGTAAAAATTACAAACAGAAAACAAAACCTTCAGAATGTTTGAAATCATGATTTATACTACAACTTCTCTTTGGACATCTTTATCAAAAAATCAACATCTGCATCTCAGCAAATGCATTTAAAAGATGGAAAGAACGTGCTCCACCTGATAGGCATAACCTTAATTACACTGCAAAAGACATAATATAATACATTTTTATATTTTTAATCAGTAAAATATTGGCATTATAATCTCAAATTTACTTCAAAGCACCAGCATAAAGTTCTCCTTTTATGTCCTGATATTGAAGACTTCCTTAGGTATCTGAATAGTTTTGCATTTAAAAAAAAAAAAGTTTGACAGAAGCTAAATCAGAATTGACCTTTTGGTCACTTCATAACTCAAATACTTTTTCAAAATCATGGTCAGTAACTTACTGAAATTGCAACTGTCCACATAAAGGATTGTCGAATTTAGCGGTAGATATCTCTCCTTTTCCTACAAGTTTCTCATTGTCTGGCAATACAGAAGCTACCACTGTCAAATAGGTGTTTCGAGTGTAATTCCCGAGTTTTTAAACCTGTTCTTCATCATGTTTGCAAGTATTCCTAAAACGTCTCACAGCAGAGACCCATATAGGAATCATTTTGGAATTGCAGATCAAATTGGTCAGACAAACCCAACTGTTACTTTCTTCCCAAAGTTCACGTGGTTGGAAATCTGTTAAGAGCTCAGCCCCTGGGACTGCAAGTTAATGCACAGCATTCTAAGTAGGAAAGGTCATGGAAGCACTCTAGATAAAAGCCATTAAAAGGGTTTGGCTGACGAGATAATTGAGAGAAGAGAAGGCATTAAGGTTAAGCATGTGCACATGTAATTATTCTGTCTCTATTATTCTAGCTATGTGCAAACAGCATGTAAACCCTGCAGAGACTCTGACAGCCAGACTACTGGTCTTAAAAATAGATCTTCAAGAGTCTCAAGTCTCCTACTTCTCTGGAGCTCCTAACCTTTGAGGTGGCAGCTTCCCCGTCTCAGTAGGGCAGGCTCTGGAAAGCACAGGTTTCTCCTGTATGTGAAGATTTGGTTGTTCCTTTACTGCACTGGCTGGAGGTGCTAAGTCTGTCATGGAAGCACAAGATTCTTCCTGTGAAGCCTATTCCCCCCTGCTCCCGACGGACATCCTTTGCTGTGCTATGAAGTGCAGCAGATACCTACAAAAAAATGGTCTCTGCAATTCTACACGTGCTAATATTTGAAACTCAGAAGTGTGAGATGTGGCACTAACTGATGAGTTTTGCTTCTTGCAGGTGGGAAATGCTTTCTTCCTTCCTTGCATGCCTCTCACAAGGACAAGATCTTATGTCTTTATTAAGACCTGGGGGGCAAGGGCATCACAGAGGCAATGGATAATTTCCCAATCTTTGTGAAATCATTAAAAAAAAAAAAAAAGCAGTAGATGACAAATGACACCTCACAGAGATAAAACTGAAATACAAAATCCAACCACAACAACTACAACCTGCTTTTGCACAGGAGCAGCTGTGCCCAACATGGCCATGGATGCTTCAAGGTTGTTGGTAACTACCAAAGGCGTGTTGGTATCTACCAACACCTACCTACCCAGGTGTTGGTACCTACCTTCCTCAAAGGAAGTGAATGAGGATCTTTAAGATGCTTTTTCCAAGAAAGCCTCAGGGAAAACTAAGGGAAATTTCACTGAGATGAAACCGAACGTCCTCCTCGTAGAGGACACTCCTTATTCAGAGATTCCTTTTTCAAGATCATTTCCTACATAAAGTAGGAAGTTTTCAGTTAACAGGATTTTCTTCAGCTCTTCTGTCTCAGTACTTATAAACTTCTCTGATTCATCTCCTACTGCCTGAGGAAGAAACCACTTTGGACCTGGCTGACCAGACTCAATTTGCTTTTATCCTTCTCTCCACACTATCAAGACTCTCTAGTCTGGTGACTCTCCCACTCTTTTATTCAGGAGGGGCCTTTTGCTCAGATTGTCCTGGCCTTTCAAGGTGTCCATGCACAGCACAGAAGGGAAAATAAAACAGTATCGAACTGCATGTTCAGACCAATGAACTTCAGAACTTAAGACGGGCTTTGGGGATAGGCATCAAAAGAAAGACATAGCACCTGAAGTAGACACAAAAGTTGGTTAATGTCAATACAAGTTGCCTAATGAAAGCTATATCTCCTACTAATCTTGTCTTGCCTAAATCTAAGGAGCGGTGGGAGCCTTCCACAGAGAGGGAGCCTTCCACAGAGACAGAAGTTCAGAAGTATTCATGCTACTGAGATAAAAGAGACTGACCTAAAATAAAGGATGGAAGTTTCTGCTTTCTTAAACCAACCTGCAGGAAAAGGTAAACACGTCCAATACTACAGAGCAGAGATAAAATTATCACCATCCAGGAGGATGTTTATACATCTCACAAAGCTACTCGTATATGAAAAGGTATTGGGAAACTTCAGGTTTTCACACGGCAATGAGAAGTCCTGCAGGACACTGTTCAAATAAGTTAAAATTGCCCTGTGCAGAAGGCTGGCACAAATCCCTGTGAAAAGTAACATCAAAGTAAGAAACAGCTGGAGAAACTCTGATGAAGAAAGACCTATATATACAGAGCATCAAAGGATTAGGCTGAATATCACTCTGAAAAGACTTTCAAGATTTAGAGACAGTCAAACTGTCTGACCCTAGCGCTAGGATGTTCCGTGCTTTGCCAGTAAGTCTTTCTGACATTTTATCTAACTGACATTATATGCCAGTTTTTCTACAAGTTTAGATCTTTCAGCACCTTGAGAGTTTGGCTACATTCTAGAAGTTGGTGATTTTTAAAGAGCTTTGTGTAGCTGATTAGTTATCAGTGGCTAAAGCAATGCCAGAGGACTAATAAGGGATTAATAGACTAGGTTCAGGTATAAATCCTCAGCTTATATGGCCAGCCAATATTCCATATGACAAAGATGCCAATGTGCTGATCTGCTCCTGCCAATGGGTTGATCTGCTCCCAGTGTTCATTTCCTGCCAGGCTCTGACTGCATAGCACACTTGATTAATATAAGGTATTTCAGGTATTTTTCATCTCCAGACAGACAGGTTCTTGCCAGCATAGCTCACATCATTTAATGCATGTCAGAACAGAGGCAGTGGTGGTGGCAGTAGGAGAGGGGGATGGATGGGAGTGTGTCTCTTTGACATTTATCTCTGCTCATATTAAAATCAGAATATGATTTACAAGGCAGTTTTACATATGGCTTTTTCTTACTCCCGCTGGTTTGGTTTAGGAAGGACATTCCAGAGCAAGAAACCGCCACTGGCTTTTCCCTCTTGTTTCTCAACTACAAGAAAGGCAAAGGAGGAGCTTCAGACAGTAGTACGCTACGTATGGTGACTTGATAACAATCCCGTTTCAAATTATACTGATACCAACCAGCCTTCCTTTTCAACTCTACATGTAAAAAGGCTTCAAACTCTTTTTAGAACAGACCGTATGCCTTTGGTGATTTGCACAGAAACCCAGCAAGGCATTCGTTAGGAGATGGCAGCACCCATGAAGTAGTTATTTACTGCTATCATTAAATACTGATCTAAAATAAATCGGAAATATCCAAGTTTTTTCTACGTCTACCCTCCGTTAAGCATTTAGGACCTACATAAAGACAAACAGGCCACTGCAAGTTGTCCTGCAGCCTAAACACTTGCTGATTAATATGAATGCAGGACTGACTATACTTAATTTATAACAGAGGATTTATATCCTTATAAATGACAACAGACAGCCAATCAATAAAGGATGATAATAACAGCACGTAATATCAAGGGAAATTAGAGTCAATTGCAGGGTTTAAGAAAAAGAGTGTGAAGTCCAAACCTGAGTCTTACTTGATGGAAGGTTAAGGTGCTATAATAGCTTAAAATGTGCAAATAAACAAAGTAATGAATTACAAGCATATTCACAAACGAGATTAAAATTCTGTGTGCAAACCAATTCTCAGCAGATATCTGGTCTTTAGTGGGATACAAAACATTAATCCTGGCTGCAAGGAGAAGACTTGAAAAAAAGCATTTCAAGGTCTGCTATAAATACTTCTAGAAAGAGGTTGAGTGCGTCTAGACTCATCTAAACCGTGAGACTTTACATGCCCTAAGACAAAATATGGAGAGCTTCCTTCTTTAATTGTTGTGGTTAATTCGCGTTGCATATGAATAATCTTTTCTTAAGATCTCCCTACTCCCAAAACTATATCTAAATATGTTATAATGTACTTCTAGTAACAATTAACAAACAACTACATATTCTTCACTGATTGTAAATTAACTGAGATACTGTAAAACTGCAAGTTTTTAAAATAGTTTAACTATTTTATGACCAATAAAGTAGAGACCATATACTGTCCAGTGCTCAGAATCCAGCACAACCCTGCAATTATGGGAATATATGAAAGCTTTAAGGGCTTGGTACTTAATTATCCTATGGATTTTTTATAACAATCTAGAGGTGTAAACATGCCTTACACTGGTTGTAAAAAGTAATTACATATCCTTTTGTTGATGTAATTTATATTCTTCCTAAAGCACTTACCAGAAAGGTGTGGAGGAGCTGTAGCATAAAAATCAGGGCTTTAAAGATCATTTTATCTTCCTCTTTGCAAACGCCTGCACCATTCCTGAAATGCTGCAAAACACTCTTTTCTCCACAGGCTGTATTTCTCTCCCTACTGTTCCCTTACAATTTATTCCATATTTCTACAACAAGGTATTCTGGGATCATTAGAACTAAGGCAGCTAGTTTACTCAGCTCTTGTCTCCTATGTTGCATACATGGCGCATTGCATATCTTGACCATGACAACCCCAATTCCCTGCCGTACTCTCTCTGACTTTCCTGGCAGAGTAACCTCAGCCCCTGCCTCTCACATGTCCTATAAATTCATTCCACGGGACACCAGCTCTCTTCAGCATTTCAATTTATTACTTATGCTGCTGCTGACCGACCTGCAAGTGTGGTAACAAGTGATCATGAGGGTCAACAAAAATAGATAATTTTTGAATTCACTCACAGCTTTTTCTACACCAGTGACAGTAGCAGAGTCTCATCTTGTCTCTACTTAGGCATTTGAAAATTCTGTTTCCTACTTATTTCCTAGCCCAAGCTATCAAATTTGGCTGAACTCATCACTGATTTTACAAGTCGTTAGGTGGAACTATCAGAAGGTGCATCTCCTCCTTAGGAAACCGCGCTATAAACCGTAACTGTAAAGGATATATTGGTCCAATTTGCTCACCTCCCTGTAAAGTGTACTCTGTCACAGGTCTGCTGAACGCTCCCAGCCCAGCTCCATTGTAAGATGCCACCTGGATTTCATACTGGGTCCAAATAATCAGGTCTTTCACTAAGCAGTAGTTAATTTCTGCACTGGTTATGTTCTTATACTGGTATTCTCCAGGGAGGCCGGCCAGGCGATACCTACCATATGGGAAGAAAAATTTGCTAGTTAATGAGATGGTATCAATTACAGCAAATATCCTGAGTAGAAAAATAGTCTCCTTTGTGAAGAGGCAATATTCAAACTTTTACAGCAGAATTATACCAATAATAATGAAAAATAATCAGAAAGAACCAACTAACTCCTGATAAGACCATATCGCGTTCGACTGCCATAGTATTTGTAATCTGATCTCACTGAGATTACATACTCGGGGCTAAACAAAAGGGGTGGTTTATCCTATTTTATGGTTGCAGAAAAATTACAGCTTTTTAAATGTGGCTTGTCTAGCAAAAGCTGTGATTTAGTAGAAAAAAATAGCCCAGATGTGATTTTTATCAGGGTGCTGCTGTAAATCAGCTTGAGAATTTTTTTTTTTTTTCTTCTCCTCTGAAATATGAAAAGAAAGAGCTCAGAGGGCTCCAGCCTTCTAGAGTCTCAGGCATTGCCATCTCTGGCTTCCATCAGGATATATTTCCCAGCATGATTAAAATAAGGATGGAATACATTTGAGACTTCAGGATTGGTTAAACATTGAAATTCCAGGAGAAGGGCTGTACCAAATACGGATGAGTGGTAAACATCCCGAAAATCTTTCTGCTGAGACATGGGAAGCTGAAACACTGAATATATTTTCCCATGTAAAAATGAAAACAGAGCCCCTTTGATGTGTCTCTTTAGGCCAAGAAACTATAGAGAACAAAATTACAGAAAACAAACCAACCTTGCAAATCTGTGAATGTGACTAATACTGTTTGTTTTCCTTCCTTTAAGAAAATGGTACAATGGATGCTTACAATATGCTAATTCACAAAAAAAAAAATCAGAAAAGCAGATCAAGTAAGGGGCACAAGGCATTACTATTCCATGAAAAAGATAAATATGGAAACATTTGTATTTTTATTCACCACACAGCTTTTATGCACTCTTATTCATCTTTTGCTTCACAGTAATCACCAAAAGCTTATTGACACAGAACAATTTCATTGACACCTTACAGTCTAATTTTAAATTCATCTAAGTTAAATTGGTGCAATTTCTGCAACTAGACAACTTTGTGTATTTCAGCCATAGATTTTGTTCCAGAGTCTTTTTATAAAGACATCACTTCTTACTCACTGACAACCCCTCTATTTTCTGCTGAGGAGCTGCTTGTCTGACCATATTTTGGCATACTTAATATTTGTAATGCTACACTGGTATGATTCCATTTATGAAATACGAATGGAAATAAAGAAATATCAGCCCTCAGCTGAGTTTATTGAATGCCTCGATCTCTTTCTACTTTATGCAATATCTACCTTCTCCTTTCTTTTGTCTCCTGCGAAGGTTATATTCTTCTTGGCAAAGTCAATTCTTTGCACGGCAATGTTTTGTCTCACACCTGGCAGACAAGGTGTAGAGTGCTCCTGTGATTTAATCCATAATGCTGATAGCGTGGCACTCCTCTAAATGCAACACTGCCAGCGAGAAAAAGGGCAGAGGAAGGAGGCCAGTTCAGAAATGTCATGTCTTCATGATTTTTCTCACCATGGACTTTGATGTATACTCCATATGACTTGTGCAGCGCACCTTCACTTTTAAAGATCAGGTGTTCCATCAATTTAGTATCTTGCATGTCCTGAGCATTGGGTCTCTGGGATGCACGGTGGTTTTCATTTTGTTATATCCTAATTCTATAGAAATCAGTGCAGGAAGACTTTTCGTCAGTGCTCATTGCTGTGACCGCACAATTTAACTTGGAAGAACAGCCTGGTTTATTACCTGGGACAGTTGTGCTTTTATATGATAAACTTATATTTCTGTCAAATACATTATTTCTCTGCTCTGTAGTCAAGATAAAGCATGCAGACATCAAAAATGTTCACAGATTGAGCATAATGAATATGATCGCTCTCTATTAAAATGGAAAGAGAGGACAGGGGATCAATTATGTTGATAGCTGTTGTAGAAAATGCTTAAGTTAAACATTATTGAAAATGCTATATGGAGAAAACAGAACAGCTTGCCAGAAGTAGGAGGCCATGGGATTGCTTTCTCAAAGGATTTAATGCTATGAAATGGGTAAGACTCATTAGGAATAGCTGAGGAAATTAATCCTATCATCAAGTAGACCAGTTTGAAGGAAAGAACTGTGCAAACAACACTTGTACCCTGTGCAAACAGGCACCCAAGTTTCCTGACAAGATTCTAGCTACAGACAGAAGTTAAAGTACCTTTTCCCACCTGTCACTGATGACTGGCACAGCTTTCAAACTGAGTCCAGCTCTTAAAACTGCAGGCACTTGCACAAGTGGCTCACCACTGTAATAGGCTCTGTGCAGGTGACAGGGAGATTAACAGACTTCAACCCTGCCTGCAGAGAGAAAAAACTTTCCAGCACTATTTTGAGATCGCACCAACACTCTCAACAGCACAAAAGCTTTTCCATCCATGCCAGCAAAAGTAGGAGCACAGCATGAACAGGATGTTGGCATTTAAACTGTAGCATTTAGTTATATTTTAGCAGGTCTGAAGGACACTGTATTAAAAATGTCAGCAGCCTGCCTACAATAGGCTGTAACCATCACTTGGAAATATGTCAGTGGTGGTGCAATGCTTGGGAGTTTCCCACAAAAACTCTAATTTAGATAATGCCTCCCTTACTAAAGGTGCGGCCCTATCTGGCTGTTAGCGCTGCAGGTTATGTAGGATGCCAAATGGGCAAGAAAGCTGTAGTTGAATGGGGTAGGAGTGAAAAACAGAGTCCCAAAAAATTACAAAAGGGAAATGTTTTGCAAAGTCTGTCAGCGTGGCAACACCTTTTCCAACACTATAAATCCTGTGTAAGCAGAAAGCCTGGATGTATCCAGGATTCCCAGTTACCTGCCTGAATCCGTTTCTCATTAATAAATACAGATGGGTCTGAAAGAATCTTACTCAACTGACTGATATGCAAAACCAAATCAAGGTCTGCCATGAAGCATCTGACCTATCATTCCCCCTCTCCATTTCGTTTGGCACAAAACTGAAGTTTATTGATTCTATTCTTTCTCTTCCACAGTGCAAGAGCCCTGTTGTGCCTTCGACAAGTTTAATTAACCTTTGTAGCAGGAAGCTGAGATTGTAATAAATGAATATACATCTGCAGTGCACAGGCTACACTGTACCGACCTCCCATGTGAACACTTTTAGTGCTCCACTTCACTTTGAAACCGGACAGAAGTTACGTGGATGTTGAGAGCCCTCACAGGAGCGAGTCCGCTTAGGCAGCCCATTGGGAGCAGCTAACAGAGACCCAGCTCACTGTCTCTCCAGTACAGACAGGCTGGAATTTAAGTGCCTGCACCCTTATGGCCATTTGAACAGAGGTGTTTTCTTACCTGTATTGAACCAGCGCAGCCACAGCATTTCTAAATAATAACTAATATATTTAATGGAATTAGAAATAATCTTTAATACACTCTTGAGTCACACCGTTCTGAATTCCCTCGTGCAAACACAAATATATCTCCAGACATTCCAGGCTAGGAAACTCCTTACCTTAGGATGTACCCATGAAGAACTCCATTATGTTCGCTCTCGGGAGGAGGTTGCCATTGGACCATGATAGACTGATTGGTGCGCCCACTGGCCACTATGTTTTTGGGTGGGGCACTGGGGGGCTCCTCGGGTAGCATCAACCTAAGTACAAAAGAATGTGATGGAGGTGGGTGTTGAAATAAATGATAGATAACATTTCTATTTCATGTATCCACTCCATGTCAACCAGTTCCTTTTATCAAAGTCTGATGACCAGAAAGAAATATAACGCTGATCAAACTGCTGAAGACATGCATGAAATAGTTACAACAAATCAACATAATAGGAAATCAGTTAAGCAAGCAGCAAGACAGACAGCTGAGGTAACCTTATTCTCTCTGAATCACCCAGGCTGCTACAACTCTTTAAAAAGATTACAAGCCTGAATGAGTTAGAGCTCAGGTCCAGTGTCTGTGACTCCTTCCAAATTGTTTCTTTCAGCTCTTTCAATATTTTTCATATCAAACTCCTACATTTTGAGAAAGCCATTTAGAGTTCAGCTGTTCTGCAATTCAAGCTCACAGCAAGCTTTGGTTCAGAGAAGAGGGGGGGATGCATTTGAAACTAAATTTGATGAAGCCATCCTTCTATGTCGCATCTGGGTGAATTCCAGAAGTGACATTGCAATGATTGGGTGAACGCCGTACTCCTTCCCAGGCTAACTGCTGTGGCTTAGCACAAGAGCAAAAAAATATTTCCAAGATTCAGCTCAACCGATACTCTGGAAATCCGAGTGTGCTGATACCCTGCGTCACCTAATTGCCGTTATCACCAATTACCAACAGCTGCAGAGCACTCTCCAGAGGCCTGGGTAACACTAACTGCTCCGTTCCCCAATTAGCGTGCAAAAGGCAACTTTATTTTATTCATTCACAAACAATCAGCAGCTTTTTCCTCCCAACAATTCTAGGTTACTGTACCTTTAGTACACAGATACTTATTTTTACTGTACCTGCTGGTCTCAGAGCTGTACTGGCCCTTTCCCACCTGGTTAACCGCACACACCCGAAACTGGTAGGTTCGGGCTGGAGTCAGTCCACTCACAGTGACACTGGTCATCTTTGGGTCAAGATTTGATAGGTGAACCTTCCAGGGAGAATCTGTTGGAATAATTTGCATGTGAAAAAAGATGGAAGCGCTTGTTAAAAGCCCTGCAGAAGTGAGAAAACGCCTCTGACTGCTCAGAGCTCTTTGTGCTTGTTTTCCTCCCAGGAACTTTGGGAAGAAGTTTCTTTTCAGCAGAAGAAACCTTCCTGTCAGCCCACACGGTTATGCAGATTGCACATTTGTCTACTGGAAAGTGATGCTGCACATGTCATGGCATAATAAATAAAAACTATATTCATTAACATTTTAATAAAAGAGGAAACAAGCATGATAAAGACAGATGGGCTGTGTATTTCACAACCCATCTGTTTGGCAGGCCATTACACCACCACACCCATGAGTGGCTCTGGTGGAAGGACTGTAATGAAATTCACAGTTAGTTTGGAATATCTTCCTGTCCAGCCTGCAAGCAGGTGTAGCAGCGTGACTCTCTCTGCCAAATCAGCCCTTTGCTGTAAGACCTGAGAAAGCTTCTGCTGCGAATTCTACACGCCTGCAATTTTTTTTGCTAGGGATAGTATATGGCGTTTGGTTTAATCAATTCCTAGGAAGACTCCCTGGTATAAAACAGCCCTGGCAGCACTATAAAACCCTCATTGTCAGTTCACATACTCAACATACTGAGCTCCTCTGATGCCCAAATTACATTTTCAAGTTTTCAAAGAGGTCAGAAATGAAACATCTTGAAAATTAAATACCCTGACTTCTTTTCTTCGTAGGCTGGTGTCACATATTCTCCCTGAAGTCATGACTGAAATAGTCAGGGAGAGGTGACATTTGGTCTGTGTTGCAACAGCACAGCAATGGAATCAGCCAATTTAAAGATTTGTTCAGTTTTTAAATAATACCAGCTGTTTTCATGCTCCCTGCTCAAAATTACCAACACTTCTGGAAATTACCGAGGAGCTAGCTGTAGATTTTGGCAACGTATCTGTGCACGTTGCTCATCAGAAGTGCATTGCAGTTCCTGGCAGGTCACCTAGATGTCTGCCTGCAAATGAAGATGAGATGTCCCAAATGGGGAAGGCTGCTAAACTTCACACCAAGACGTAAACCACTGATTTAGTGCTTTTCTGGCAGATTCCTTAGAAAGTTTAAGTCCTCTAGGATGCGATGCCAGTTGGGCTATAAACAAACACTGCATCTTCGAATTCCTCAAAATATATTTATTCCAGAAACAGCTTTCTGAGAACAAAGACTTTTTTAGCAGGAAAACTGACACAGCAGAATACTGGGAATGCAGGAGAGGGACATTTGCAGAGCAGTCAAGTTTCAGCCTCTCCAGTTGTTGATGATTTACCAACAGTCCCTTCAGCTCCAAGATCTTGATGGCAATTCATCTCAGCTGAATGTTGAACTGCTTTCAGAAAGACCTTAGAGGAAGGACACCTATGCTATCTAGAAAAGCATTGGTTGGGAATTTTTGCACCCCAGTTCCTTCCGAATTTTATCAAGCTTCTCTTGAGACTTCATAAGCAACTGTTCACCTTGTTACAGCCAGAATGCACAATAACAAATCAAGGTAAGCCAACGTTAGGGTATGGCTGACTTAGTACATCGCCTGAAGCAGCTTCCTGAGGAAAATGGAAGAAGAGCAGACACCAATAAGAGAGTGAAATACTCTTGTATGAGCTACTTGGGTAGTGGTCCATTTCCTAGAGCATTTCATTTGTTTACTGCCAGTGTAAACACCACCTGAGAGTGCTTAACCCAAGCAGCTCAATGCAGTGAGCAGTTTGAGTCAACAACAGGGCCTATTAATCTCTTCAGCACCTTGGGGCTTTGCTCTGTTTATACGCTGCATCTGTAGAATACTTTATTTATTCTTTTTCCTCTCCTGGTGGAAGATAAAAGATCTGGCATGAAGAGAGATTAAACTGAAAACTAATATAAACGAAGCCTATTCATCTCCTGGGCACTCCGATTCGTGAAGGAAAGTGGTTTGGGGAGGATTTGCTCGCTCAAGGAGCAGTGGATACAGTGAGTGTGCAGAGTATCTTTAAAATTTAAATGTCAAGTCTTTTTTTTGACAATCAATAAACGAAACATTTCGAAAGGCTGTTCTCCCTCCTTAAACACACAACAAACCCCAGCATCGTACAGAAGCTTGTTTTACCGTAGAGAATAGCAATTCTGACATCGGAAACATGCCATAAAATTTTCAACACCGACTCTCTTCTCCTCCAGGGATGACTGTCACTCGCCTGTCCCAGGAAGCCTGGAGAAGCTCCACGGTGACAAAAGACTTGCCAGGTCAAACTATTAAATAAGCCTCTGTTAGATTGAACAGACTGTGCTAATCCTTCATTCAACTTAAGCTGCCCAGAATGTACCCTGGGCTTCGCTTGCTCTTCCACTGTAATTGCTGCTGGCTGACAAACTTCCATGTTTAGTTGTCTATCGTCTTAAGGATATTGGTTATTTTGAATTAACTCTCATCGCCTCTCCAAGTGAATTTATTGGAAACAAAGAATGTCACAGGCTATTCTTCAGTTTACAATGGGATATGTGGGGTTTTGGAAATGACTTTTGTTCTGTCAAGAATTTTTGGATGCACTTGTGATACGTTTTATAACACTGGTTACTCACCAAGAGGCGTTGCTTCTATATTTCACTACCTACCTTACAACTCATGCATTAATTGCAAATTCCTCAAAAATAATTTCTAATTTGATATTACAAAATCAGCTCTATTGCAGAAAGCTGATTTTTGCAGGTTTGGAGTACATTTCCATCTCCTTCCTTGTCCAGGGGGTTTTGCATAGATGGTAGTATTGGGATTTGCTGTACTGCTAAAGTTTACTGAATTCATCTTTCAAATCTTCATGACAATATGATATTGCAAAAAGTTCAAATAAAAATGAAATGGCTCATCCTTTGATAGGACTTCAATAAGGTCTACCAATGACCTGAGAAAAAGTATCTTTTAACACTAACACATATAGATCTGTGCTGCAGTCGTAATGAACAACATAGTTTTACTTTGATTTTTGCAAAGATTTATTAATGTATTCAATTTTTATCATTTTAATATTCCTACCAAATTCAGGATGACGATGCACAGGCTTTAAGTTAAGCATGTATAAATGCTTTTCACAGGAGCTTTTATTATCTCCTTATTGGCACAACATGATGAATCTCAGTTATATCATTACATCACACAGCACAGATATCCCAGAATACAATAAAACAAAAATGGGCTTTTATCTTAATTGTACTCAGCAGAATTCTTTAAGTATTTAATTCATTTCTTCAGATAAAAGACTGTTCAGAATAATTTCTGATTAATCCCTGAAATCTAAACCTCTTTGGAATAAAATAAGCCTATTCCCTTCTAACTCCATGAAGATCCTTCACTGGAATATCTAGGCATATCGCAACAGGGGCTAAACAGGTCATGAAACATCCAAAAATTATATTAGTGCAAATGACAGCAATGCATGGTACTATTTATTTGAAAATCCTATTTCAAATGAAGGTTCACATTGCTGGCTCTGTGTGGGCAGGAATACTTAATGACTGTGTTTCCCTGGAACTGTGTTTTTCAAATTAGATTATAAATTTGCCCCCAAATGTTTAAGGCCATATGTCTCAAGTCACCCACAGACACGGTCTACTGTGAATACTTGTAATTTGAGAATTATTGCATTGTGGCAAATACATTAATTTTAAAAATTAGGTGACTTGGTGACTAGAGTCATTCGTATTTCCAGCAATTTATGTGCACGATCTGCCACTGTTTTTTCCTCTAATTAAAATAAGGTTTTTATATCTCTTTACTGAATTGATATTAATGAAAAAGAGTTCTAATCTATGCCAGGTGGAGTGACACGCCTCTCTCTAATGCAGCTAGTAATTAGTCCCCTGAAATTTACACTCATTATTCTGAACCCTCTTCAGCTATTTCTCTGAAGCAGATACTGTTATTATGTATTCATTTATGGTACGTGCTTCAAAACGTACATGGATCCTAAAGCTATTAGAAGATTATTCTAAGCAAAACAGCTAAAAAAATGAACAAAACTAGGCTACGTTTGGCACCTGTAACTGCAAATCAAAACCCATGTCTTGAAACTCCACCAACTAAGAACAAAGTCTCCCGTGCAGCTTTGTTAACTGGAAAATAAATCATAATTCTGATGTCCCTCCCTAAGCTTTACATGCAGAAAAGCAAAGAGGGATTAGGATGTTGAGCATATTGCACGGCTGCTGGCAGCGAGAGAACTACAGACACGAGGAGCTCGTGGAGGGCATACGCCAACTTCTTGCTCTTTCTGGGGCACAAGTAGGACCGACAGGAAACCTGAAAGGAAATTTTCTTTGAAAAGCAAAGAGAGACTCTGCACAGTCATATCAGATAAAGCTATACCTACACAAGATCAAATGTCAGCTTTGCTCACAAACATCACCTGGGACAGAGGCAGGGGGGAAACCAAGGAAAGATGGTGTATTCCGAAGGAGTAGGAGGTCTGTAGAAACTGAATATTAACCACACACCACTGAGATCAAAATAACTCTAAAAAACAAACGCTTCAAGAAAATGAAAAACAAAACAAGACAATGACAATGTGCAAACATTAAAGTCAGTCTTCCAAACCCAAGTCACTGTTGACAGTCTTCCACTAGTCTGTTGGCATCTGTAAAGCTGAGCAATAATATATGAAATGAGAGAACACAGCAATATTCAAGGCCTTAGATTCCTCTCTGTTCTAATTCTACAAGTAACATACATTGTATGCAAAAGCAAAGTAAATAAAGATGAAACTGAAAGGACAGCAAGATCTAGAATATTTCTGGGAGTTAAGATGCTCAATTCACAACAAACTTGGTCTGTGGTTTTTGCAGCTGCAACCTTGCTGAAGTACATATACCTATGATTTGTGATAATGAGACTCTCTCAGTGGTAGATTGCAATGCCATCAGCTAAAATTATTGGATCTCTCACAGAGTGAGCAAGGGTTCACAGGATCCTGGGGAGTTCTGAGGGACTGTCTGCATGATTTCCAGAGAACTATTGCTGATTTTTGCTGAGCCTTCTACAAATTTCAGTGAATGAATCATAGCATTTTCAAAATGATGGCACATTTACCCCATTCCTATGCTAGAACAGTCACAGAGCATCTGTGCTAGAAAGGTATTTGAAGACCTTTCAAACTTCTCCTGGCACTGAGTGAGCTGCCTCCTCTCTTAGTGACTCTTCCCAACGAGCACAGCCCAGCCCAGGACCCAGGTGCATATGTTCTGCCAGCTCTGTGCTGTCTCTATGAAAATACAGCTCTAGCACCTTTGCATGATGTTCCCAGACTGGGATTTTATTAGCTAGTCATTGTCAAAGCCACTGGGAAACATGAAACACAAGGGTAACGTCCTTGGGTGAAAGAACAGGTAAGGAAAAGCAAAAAGGCACTTACTGGCCTATTGTCAATAGGAGGGGAAGGAGAGAAGAGTGACAATAAAAAAGAAGGTGGTGATAAAAAGGTAGAGAGGGGGTGTGAGGGCAGAACACTGAATTTTCTGAGTCATTTGTTCCAAAAAGATCAGAAGTCTTTGCTGAAAAAGAACTGTTTTAAGGACAGCAGTCCTGGGCATGACTTGGGAATTCTGCTAGGATTAGAAAACTGCACTTTGCTTAACAGATGTCAAGATCATCAGTTCTGGGACCTCCACATCTGAAAAGTTATGCATTCCAGCCTGCAAAGCGAAAGGGTTGTATGTGACCTGAAGCTCAAGTTTCATCTCAAGCTCTCTGCGTGGCAAAACAAAATGCTACTCTCTAGACAATCAGAAGTCAGGACTGTTTCACATTCAGTTATGCAGTGGCTAATTTCCACATGTCAGAAAAAGTGATGCTCTTAATTTTTTCATCAAGAATCAATTGTTAGGCTTGGATTCCCAACTCCTAGGGTGATGGAGATTAGAAAGTATTGCCAAGGTGACCGATTTCCATACAACCTCATCTTTCCATCAACTCCTAAAGAGGCATTAGCAGTGCCCCTGAATAACCTTGCAAACTGCGAGCCACAAAGGACCAGATACACAGCCTGATAAAACTGAGAAGTGGTAATTCACAATGACCAGGTTTGTAACCCATGAAGCTGGATGTTTGGATATCTTACAGTTAAGCATCCTCCACTACCTACCTAAAAAAAGGATGTAAAATGATTACCTAGGGAAAGCGAAGAAAATACGTGAACCCATACACAGATAAGATAGTAGCTCCTATTGACATTCAAGTGTCTTCCTCTGACAGACCATCAGTTCCTTATATTATCATCCTGCCTACATTTTTCAGGTGAAATTGGGGCTCTGAATGCATCAAGATATCCATGAACCCAGAGCAAAAGACAATAACGGCAAGAAATACAATGTGACAATTGCTATTTTACACGTCGAATAGAAGTACCGAGGAAGGAGCTGTTGTGCCTCAAGTCTGGCTGGCAATGCTGGAGGGGGAACAGAGGCTTTCCTGTGTAACAATTCCACCATCTCGGGCCTCTTTTAGTTGTTTAATTCTTTGAGCGTGCAAATAGTTGAGCGTAAAAGGCAGGGCTTCCCCTTCATGCACACTGTCTCTCATTCAGCAAACAACAGTAACATTTTGTTAGTAGCTCTGGTAAAAGGTGAGTCTGAAAGAAGGCTGAATAATTAAGAAGAACATGAGATTGAAACATATTTGACTTTACTCACTGTTCTCGGAGAGCTCGACCATGTAGTAGAGAACAGGGCTGTTTCCATCAAAGGGACGCACCCAGGAGAGCATCACGCTGCGGCTGTATGAGGAATTCAGAGTGGCCAGAAGATTCTGAGGGGAATGAGGCAGCTCACTGTTAAGGAAAAGAGAAAGAGAGGAAAAACAGCACAGAAAAATCAATCTACATTTCATTCAGCTACAGTCTTACAGGCAGTTAAAGGCATCCAACACCAGACTCATATGATGATAGATATAAAACTACCAGCAGCTACTGTACAATTAAATAAATGAAAGACATCTCTGAATTCTTCACAATTTTATTCTATTTGGAAAAAAAAAAAAAAAAGCTGAAAGTCCCAAGGCTGATGCTTAGAACTGTTGATGGAAACGTTGCTAAATGTGGAAAAAAGCCAATTTTCAAACTGTTTTTGATTGAGACAAGTTGGTCAATAGATTTCCCCTCTCACTTTTTCCCCTTCTTACGACGATGTCCCAGCAATGTGACAGCAGTAATACATATCAACAGTAAAACACATGGGAGATATGATTTAACATGGAATTTTTCATACTCAAGGAAGCAGAAGACATTGACACTATCCATATAGAGCTACTAATCAAAATTACCATATGTATTCTTAGGCTACAGAACAGCTTGATTTACTCGCGGATTCAGGCTTATCCTGTCATGGGCAGAATCTTTCCTTCCTATAATAGGGATTTTTTTTGGAAGCACCCAACTAGAAAATGTAGTGAAAATGCCTGCAGAAACCGCATGGAAATACAAAATGAAACATTAAAAAACAAAAATAAAACAGCAGCTCAATTAAAACATGTAATTTCTCCACATTAAGGCAATTTGTGGAAAAACATTTCATTTGTACTCATTGGCTGAAAGTCTGAAGCTGCATGGTGCAGTGAGAAAACTAAATTCTGTTAAATCTCTTAAATGCTGATCTGCATTAAGTGATAAAGGCCCTTCAACCACTATAGTTGAGCCCAATTTCTGCTCCTTATCATCCTGGTTCCTAAGGAGGTCAAGGACCTGAGACAAAGAAGGAAAAGCAAGGAGGACCAGTTTTCACCCATTCAATCTACTGGTCCTCCCCAGGAAGATGGAGGACCCTTCCTCAGCAAGCACCACTGCTAATCTACTGTGGCCAGAGCAGAAAGCCACAAGGGTACTTCACATGCTTAATTTAAAAACGTAGTAATTTCTGGTTGTAATCTATCATGCTACTGAAGATACAGTTATTTAAAAACCACGACTCCTTAGCCACTCATGAAAGTAAATGCAGACTCTGGCTTTAAGCCAGAACAATAAATACGTCCTGGATTTGGGTTTCTACTGGAAGATTGAGGAGCATATGGAGAGCCAGACAATAGCTTCACTATTTTTCTGTTAAAATTGCACACGCTTTTGTTCACATGTTCATGATGGCTACATGCTGTTAACGTCAAAAAAAAAAAAAAGGTTGATGGAAGAGCCAAGGAGTGGCTTGATAATGAGACAACACAAGTGGAAGACACTCATCTACCCACCTCTCTGTAGGCTAGGAGGGTTGACGCTTCCTTAGGCTAAACCCTGAGACGCAGAGTCTCCTCTCATCTCATTTGACTTTTAACACCTAACCTAATTAGCAGCAAGGTCACCCCAGGCTCTTTCTGTAGTAAACATGCAATGACACCTCAGGGCGTGATTCAGATCTTAACTTCATTAAATCACTCAAGACACCTTGGTTATGAGGAGCGTAGGCTGACTATGTTCTCACTTAGGTCTAGGCATGCACCAACCAAGCTCCAGACTTCCGACACATGGACAGCTGAGACATGGCCCGTTTTAGGCTAAGAAGCAGCATCAGGCACAGGAGTGAGTATGCATGGGCCTGACAGAAGCAGATTTTGAACAGAGCACTGCAAAACTTTGGATAAACAAGTTTAGGGAAGAAGAGGACCTCAAAAAAAAAAAAAAGCAGGAGGGCAGTCAGCCCGCAAGACTAAATGACAGAATAAGTCTGTGCTTTGAAAAGTGTGGAGTGGGGGTTTAAGACATGGCCATTTACCGAGGGACTACAGGAGTGTGCTACTTAATTTTGAATGAAACATTAAATTATAATAAACATTAAACCTCCACTACAATTTATCATTACGTCCCAAGCAAGCTGGTTGGAAAAGTGTTTTTGTGATTAAGCTGGCAAAGGAAATTACTGAAGGAAAGGGAGCGAAACGTCTTGTTGTGACATGGCTCACGGAAGTCCCAGTCCCCACTTCATTTATCACCAGCCCCTGTGGGGAAGAGCTCAGAGATGGGCTGTGGCTTCAGCTTCTTCCAGAAGACGATGCTCATGCAGGGAGCAGCGTAGGAGGGACAGCTGAGAGGGAGCTCACAGCAAACTTATCCCCATGTAACTCCTTTTCTGGGAACTAAATAAACACGCCTGGAATATATTAAGGGTATTTCCGGGATGTGCATTTACTAGTTGATCTTGTTTCCCCACATGTTTAAAAAGGGTTGAATTAACAGCTCATTCTAGGACAGAGGCTACATGACTTTACAGCTCAGTCTCTTTTCCTTAGGGTGCAAGTCTCAAAAGATTTTTTGGAGGAGGGCAGAAATTCCCTTTTTCCTGTTTTTTAAAGCACAAACTGAGTTTAAACAGGTTTGTTTGTTTTTTTTTTTGCTTAGGATTTGGGTTTAGTTGATTATTCTCTTAGATTGACACCAAATGGTCACTCAGTCAGCAACACGAAGGAAACGGCGCTTTCTGTTTGGACAGAGATCGAGTAGCACGAGGTGCAGCAGCCACACAGTGCACCTATCTCCACTGATATCATATTCTTTAGCCATATACGTCCATACCCAACAGCAACAGATGGTGCTTACAGATTTAAATCCCTCAAGGCAGACATAACAAGTGCCTAAGAAACATACCTGGACAGAAATAAATATTTAAAACTACAAAGACATTTCAGCACAGAAGTGTACTTCTCTCTTTGCAGTATACAGAAGCAGAGATTAATAAATAGTAATTCTTACTTTAGCAAGCGCTTACACTTTGTCTCCTTCTCATTTGCTACCAGATACTGTGTGGAAGGGAAGATAAATGAGACCTGTACCACCATCATGAATATTCACGTTCCCAAAAGAGATCATTGCTTCTTTTTTTCCTTTAAGAGAATTACTTTTCCTTGCTGCTAACGTCCAAGAAATCATTGCAGGGAATGACAATTTCAACGCTTCCTCAGGATGAGAAGGACCTCAGAGCAGAACTGCTCAACTTCTGATACACTAAGAAAGTGGATAAAATTTAGTACAATAATACCCAGGGCACAGAACAGCCCTTGACTGGACACTGGAAGTTTAATTCCAGCATTATCTTTCTTGGTTTTATTCACTGAAGCCCCAAACAGGAAACACATGAAGGTTTTTCAATATAGAATATCTTAAGCTCTCACTCCTCTAATGCTGAAGAGTTGCATGGAGGCAAGTTTTCCATAACTTACTTTGTATGATGGCAAAATATGTATACGGACACTTTTAAATCTGTATTTGATAGATAAGCCCAGGGTTAATGGCATAGCCACCAAGGTGACCTGAGGGGACTCTGACAAAGCAATTAAAATAGCGGATTTGCAAGAAAAGAACATGAAGTCATTGTGACAATCCAGGAAAGAAATATTAGCCAGTTGCAGATGATACATGTTCAAAACAGAAACCCTAATGTTCTGAGTCAGCTCATCACTGCCAGAGGGCAGCTGAAAAATTCACTCAGCAAACACAGAGTGTTTTATAAAATTAGCTAAAAGCAGACTATTTGCTGAGGGAAATAAACCAGACATGGTTTGGAGAGATTTCTGAGAAAAATGGTCCAACAGCAGGTAATTAGAGAGACTGTGACTGAAGAGGGGATTACTAAAAAGGCAAGGGAGATTAAACAAGTTTTCTTGTCAGTTTATAAAAAGCCCCGCTCCTATTTCATAAATGATTTCCTAAATCAGGTCCACCACACAAGTTTTACTCAGGAGCAGGTGGTTCATCTGCTGGACCCGATAACATGGTAAGAAGTTGAGGCAGGAAGCCTGAACAGCCACTCAGCCCTGATGGCTTTGCTCATAAAAGTTTATAATGTTTTAAATTAAGAAACGTGTCATCTGTTGTTCAGGACTTTCCAGTTTCTCTTGGAAAAGAATCCTCTCCAATTTCTAAACACAGGAAGGATTCTTGCAAGGTATTCATTAGTTTTGAGGCTTTCTCTCTCTCATAGGCCTACAACGAGGTGGATTTTTTGAAATTAAAGGCTTGCCACGTCCTAGAGCATGTAGATTTATTTCCCATTTCATTTTAGTGTCATCACAAGCTCAAATCTACAGACAACTTGAGAAAAGCTTTTGAATTTTATGCTTTCTTGTTCCTAAAAACACCTATATTTCTCATATATCTTCAATGATGAAGAGACACAATTGTATTTCTGAGTGTATTTCTAGGTGGTATTTCTCTTTTGAGTATCAAGTGCATTTAGACTCAGCAGTGAACCTTACTTCTCAGATGACATCTCAATAGAGAGCTTGGAAAAATAAATAGAAGCTTTCTTTCTAGGGAGGAAGGAATAATATATTTTCAAGTTTGACATCCTTCCTGTTTTCACTCCCTGCAGAAAGGAAAAGAGATGGGCTAGTGGAACCAAGAGATCTGGGATCCATATGAAGATAAGTTTGTAATGAGACATCATTTTGATTTGTTATTGGGAAGAAATTGGAAAAAGTAGCAATTACAAATACTCTAGTAAAAAGGGTATCAAAATTCATGTCTAAATGATTGACAAAGGCAATACTGTGCATTCTTGGCAACCCACTGGGTTTTATTATAAGTGGTTAGCTCCCCTCTCCTGCTTTTGAAGAAGACAGAATAATAATAGTTCTTTCTCTGGTGAAAGAGAACTGAAAGAAGATGAACTTGCTGCCAGGAATGAATTGCCTATTTTTGTATTACATTGTCCTCTCCATATTTTTGCATCGAGAAAGAGCCTAAAAGATTTTACTATATGTTGTGACATAACAGAGGCTTGTACAGGGCTTTGATTTTCCAACAATGCTGCATTACCATACTTTCCAGTCACATTCATACAACAAAGAGATTCTTTAGTATGGACTGCAGACAGGCTGATATTGAGCAGCAGGTATCATCAGGCATAGATAGTGGTAATTCTGCATATTTTATATACACTGAGAACCCTCAGGACACTTTGTGCTGGAATCGGCGCAGTTTCCCCTCAGGTGAGTGATACACTGTGATAACTCAGCTTATGTGGCTTTAGGAACAACTGTTTTTTCCTCTATACGTATTTCAGTACGGTATTTACAGGACTATAAAAGTAAGCTAAACGAAGCTGGGATGTTTCATAACATATAATTATTTTCAGGATCAAATCCTATGACTTGAAGGAATACAAGAGAAGCACATGCTCATCATCAAAAGACCTGCAAAAATTTCTATATTTGCAGTCAAAAAGCTCTGCTAGGAGAAAAAAAAAAGGTAAGTAAAAAATTTAAATTTATCTCTTGCAGAAGAGAAGCATCACTTGCAAGTGTTCTACCTCGTGCAAATCAAATCAAGTGATGCACATGAAGAATAAACACATCTAGAGGGAAGACAAATGAATGGAATATCTTGACTAGCAATTAGTTTCTGTGCCCAAGTACCATCAGTGCAAAATTGATGAGCAAGGTAACCTTTGGCTGCACTTTAGCAAGTTCTTCATTAGTTTTCTGGCTTTCCTTTTCAAATATTTTATTTCTTCACAGACACGTTGAGAAAAATGATCCATCCTGCTTGCACCACCACCGTTTACCACGCTGTGCTATCAGTGTACGATCTTCTAGCAAGAAACAGCACCTTTTCCCCCAAGCCTGTCTTCCGACAAGGGAAGACAATGGAAGAAAAAGTTTTCTTTCCATCTTTTCACAGGTTGGAAAACCAGACCACTCCGAGATTCAATAACTGAAGGTCACCCTGAAGGTCAACGGCTTTGAATTGAATCAGTTTGAACCGAAATCAGTAACAAACTTATTTGTGCCTTTGGAAATTTCTCCTGACATGCCTAGAAGGTAGAGGAGGGACATGCTGGATCCTGGGGGAAAAAAGGTGGTGAGACAATTGGAGTTGTCAGATCAAGCTAGGTAGGCTACGATATTATCCGTTGGTAGACTGCTCCAGTCTGTAATTGGTTGAGAGGTCTCCTTTGAACATTTGTCTGACATTAGAGCTACTCAAGGCACTGAAGTGTAAGTGCTCATCGATGGGAATGTACATGCCCTGTTTGTTAATGTCCTGCACAAGAGAATTATCTGGGAGAACAGGGAATGTTATAGATCTGTCATTCCTACACGAGCTAGAATTTAATTTAAGCTTTGCTTCAGACATTTCCTTTCCACACATTTTCTTCTTCATTTCACTTCTGTTGTATCATGTATCTCTATTTCTCACAGATTTGTGCTGCTGAGCCAAACGATAATGATGAAAGCTGCAAAGGAATGCAATGTATTTTGGCATTATTGCACTACCTGCAGCACTACTTTGAAATAAAATGTCACAATTTAAGGTATGATTGAGTGACTTATCAGTTACTGAAGTCCTCTAAAAAAGTGGGTCTCATATATTTCTTTAATTCCTTCAGGAAAAACAGGTTTTAGGCGATCAGCAACAGAACACTGGAGGAAGCAGAGACATAGGATTAAGAGCCAGTCCCAGTGCATGGGGAGCCAGCCAACACAACTGGAACAAGCTGGGATGCAAGAAAGGCAGCCTCAGCAATGCACATGAGATGCGCCTCTCCCAGATAACTTCTAGCCCAGGCTTTATGGAGTATAAAACCATTCCTTACTGGTCAACGGGGAACTGCAAGTAAACACAGCTGCTGTGCTGTACTGGGTTGCATGGGGCATCTTTTGCCATTTAGGATTAAGAAATGGTGAGACTGACGAAGTGTTTAGCAGATATTTATGGCTTTGCTTCAAAGTCCAGGTTTTAACATTCTTTTCAGTCTTTACTTTATAATTTGCTGCCCTCTATTCAAAAACCGCCTCAGAGAAAAGCAAGTATGGTTATATAGTAGCAATATATTTTGAATTGTCTTCTGCTCTTGGATTCAAACCAGCAGTAAAATGCACTCCGGGAGGAGAGCTGAGGAGTGCTTAATTAGAGGAAGAATGTATGACCACTCTCTGAAAATGGGCATCTGATCTAGCCTTGGCACTGTCAGAACAATGCTGTATCAAACAGCCCTCTGCATAGCAAATCTCAGAGGTGAACTCATTACACTGCCAACAGCAGAAGTTGCCATCTTCTCAGAGAGATCAGGCATGGCCAGCAGAAACAGATGCAATTTTAGTTAAATTAAAGCATGTGGCACTACTCAAATAAATAAATAAATAAAAAGTCTACATAAAACATTACCTTCTTATTCATTTGATCTGCTCCACACATGTACCAAACCCACAGTTGTTGCTTTTAGTAATAAAAATAAAATGGAAGTGCACTTCACCCCAGTGGAATGACAGAAACAGAAAACAAGGAACCCTGTAATGACACTTTTATAAACCTTTTCCAGAAATGAACTGCACTTTAAACGTTTTCTTGTTTTTATTTTTAAAGATCCTTAGGAATAAAGAAAGGCATACATAAAAATATTTTTCCCCTGATAAACTATGTATAAAGAGAATGCAAGAGTAAGCAATGCCTGTCCAGGGACCAGCTATTCTGACATATGTTTAACAGAGAAAAAATACTAAAAGGAGGAAAACATTTTCTTAAAACCTTGGCATCACAGCGCAGCACCTGGGCTTTATGGGAAAGCCCTGAAGCATGAGATGACAGAAAGATTCAGGTTGGAAGGGACCTCAGGAGGTCTCTGGTCCAACCTCCTGCTCAAAGAAGGGTCATCCATGAGTTCAGACCAGTTTAACCAGTCTGGTCTTGAAAACTGGAGACAGTATTCCAGATGTAGATTACTAAGTGTCAAATAAAAGAGGGTAATCATGTCCATCAATCTACTGGGCTGGTGTTAACACTGCCCAGGATACTGTCAGCCTTTCTTGTTGCCAGGGCACACAGCTGGCTCATGTTCGGCTGCTGTCTACCAAGACCCCCAGTTTTTTTTCCAGCAGAACTGCGACCAGCCAGCCAGTGCCCAGACTGTATTACTGCAAAAAGTTATTCCTCTCCAGATGCAGACATTGCATTTGTCCATGTTGAATTTCATAAGGTTCCTGTTGGCCCATTTCTCAGCTTGTCTAGATCCCTCTGAATGGTGGTCCTTCTCTTGAATGTACCTCAAACTGCCCCATACCCATTTTTTGCCATCTACAAACTTGATGAGCATGCATTCCAACACTGCTGTCAGATCACTGATAACAATGCTGATTAGCACATGTCCAATTAGCCTCCCCTGCAGCAGCCCACTTGTTACTGGCTCCAGGCAGACTACAATCTCTTAGTCATTATCCCTTGAGCTCGATCACCCAACCAGACTGACATGTACACATGGTGATTTAGAGACATGCAGTTACTTGGAAGTTGAAGCAGCATGGCTGCAAAAGGGAGGACACGTTTCAAGGCAATTTAATTAGGAATGAGCCAGGCTTAATTTCTACTAAAAAAATCCCACACCAAAAATCAAACTTTCAGACTCCCCAGATCTCCTACAATGAAATGCCAGAAAAATGCCCAAGGGTACCTGAAACCAAGCACAGTGTATATTTAAGATGGAATACTCACATCACTTCTAGTCGAGCCATTCTAGAGTCATTTCCTCCAAAAGAAATGACCTCACAGGTGTAGTCTCCGATGTCACCTGACCACGTCTGGCTGATGAGGAGGGTTCCGTCCTTCTCTACTGTGATCCTGGAACTGCTGGATGGATTTATTATGACGCTATCCTTCTTCCAAACATACCTGAGTATTGCAATGCTTCAGTTAATAACTACTCACAAGGACTTCAAAGCAGATTTATTTGAACTGTGCAATAAGATATCAGCTTCTGTAATCACACATTAAAAATTACAGGCACCTACAAGTTACTTTCAGGACCAGTGTCTTTTACAAATTTTAGTTTTAGCTCAGTGATCAGAATAAGAAATGTAATTCATCCAAGTTACCACATATTTTATAAACAATACTATATTTTTTAGATGGCAAAGGTGAAGTACTGACATCCAAATCCTAAAGTCCACCTTCATCAGCCTTTTAAATTAGAACTTCATACTCTGAAGTTAACAGCTGAGGGCTGGCCCACCTCTGCTAAGACTGTATCAACCTTAGATTGCCACAATCAGTAACATCTTAAACTGCTGTGACAAGGTTTACTAGAGCTTGTCCATTAAAACACACACATACCAACATGTTAGAGATGTGTATCAGCCCATGGTCTTACGATTAAGTACCTCTACATGAAACTTTTACACCTGTATTTCGTATTTCTCTTGACGAAGTTTTTTCTGCAGTTCACCCTTCTAGCACCCTCCAAGCTGTTCCTTGCATTTTGCTTCATTTGTGTTGCTTTCAGACTACATGAATTTTCATGGTAAATTTATTTCTAAATGGTGAGCTTCCTCTGAATGCCTTAGTGCCAATTTTAATAGTTTGGACAAATTCTACTTTCCTTTACACAGTTAAAGCAGAAGATAGCCCCTAGTTATTGAGTTATTTCCAAGAACAGGGGCATCTCTTGTGTTGCTTTCATGCACCCCAATGTAAACAATTCTGAAATCCTATTCCTTCTCTTTGGCTTTTACTCTCATTAAGAATCAGCTTCTGACAAGTTGGTTTTATTGATAGTGTATTAACCTTGACAGTAAAATCATGGAAGGCTATATTGAAGTCATGAAGTGGAACATAGCTCATTGTAAATAATACATAAGGCTGAAATGGAAGATGGGATTTATATGATTAATGATACAGTGTACAACCTTATAATGCAGTAATCAGGGGTCTGGTGTTAAAATCTGGGGTCCTGAAACTTTTCACCTAGTGTTATTAGTATAGCTTATAAAATTAAGCTTGGATAAACCCCACAAACGAGAACTGACACCACCAACCTGATTGAAATTCTAGGATCATGAGTCGCTTCACATCGCAGAGCAGCTGTGGTTCCTTTGATCACAGTGCTATCCTCAGGAGGGTGAACAATGAAAGTGCGATCTGAAAGGAATACAAGCCATAGTTCAGGTGAAATCACAGCATTTTGACTTGGGTATTCACTCAGAGAGCAGGCAACTGAACACTCGTCAATCAAAGCAAGCAGGCCATTCCTCTCCAAGTCTTCGCTGCAAAGGGTCCCCCTCCCTCCAATGTCATTGTGTCAAGAAGAGGTGGTACGCTGTGGGGTGCAGAGAAGCAAAAGTAGCTGAGGGCATGAGTCTGAGGTGGCAGAGATCTGCGTAGGAAGAGTGCTAAAGCTGAACTAACTCTGACTTGCCTTGTGGTAAGCATCCAGCGACTCCCTGAAGCCATAAGGCAGCAAGTATGTTTGTAATGCGTTATGAACAAATCCAAACATGCATTGAGTCAGGAAAGAAGTCACACTGGAGCAGGGAAAACAAAACCAAAGGAAATCTATGCAAAGAATACACTAGAAGAATATCTAGAAACAGGAAAACTTAAATGGCACCCCACAGGAAAGAGGTTAAAGGAGGAGGAGCTTCTGGTAGTCTGAATTTTGCATAGAAGACAGATATGCTGTTTACTCAAATGTTTCAGAACATCTTTATTCAAGCACCTCCTGGAGACTCGGAACACAATAATTGCTGTAACTACAGCAACCAGATCTGGTGTGAAAGATCTCTATTATGCTTAACACACAGTAGCAGCAGCAGATAGCATCAGCTGAAGCAGGTAGACAACTAGGATGAGTATAGAAGATATGTGGATAATGTTAATCAGTCCCAAATCCCTACAGAGATAATCAGCGTCTATGGAGATCTCTCATACATGCACAAGAAGGAATCATCAGCAAAATCAAAAGCTAACTCTAAGAGCGTGGAATTTTTAGCATTATTCCTGATGTACTTCTGTATGCCTTCTAGCTTTACAATGGTGCTGTGGCTACACAAGTATTAGGTTATATTCACTTTTCTTTTCCCCCTCCAATGCAGCACAATGAACAGGAAGTATCTTAATACATATAAGAACTATGCCTTTGAGAATTAATAGGAAGAATCTCCTTTACTTGATCCATACGCCTGCATATCATTCAGTTTGTAACATCCTGATACATATACTCACTCTATACGTCAATAAGATATAAACATGATGGCCATAAGACACAAGTACATTACATTTACTGCCAGTGCTGTTTTCAGGTTTTCCCAAATTCAAAAGGAAAAACGTCGCTCATTTAACTTGCACAGTTTTGGGATTAACAAATGTCAAATATGCACCACACATCAGTATGATGATCAGTACTTCAAGTACAGGAAAGGAGAGTCACAACACTTCTGTATTTATCATCATCACCTTCGTCGGTTTTAATTATTTTTAATCCCAGCTCACGGATCATTATTTCCTACCTTTAGAAGCAAAACACACGTTACACTTAAATTTAACTCACTTAGCAGTAACACAGGTGAACCTGTTGGATCGGACTCTCTTCTCCAACAGAAAAAATGAAAAAATAGAGATCAAGGGCAGATGGTGAAGGACAAAATCACTTCCTGGGTTGCCCCGTGCCGTGCCAATCTGTAGCAAGAGACACTAGCTGAAATCTGCTGTACTTTGGTTTGGCTTCCAACAGTGCCCAAGGCCACAAAGAAATACAAAGGTATGAGGAAAATCATATCCATTGTAACTGTGGCTACAGCCTTAGTAACGGCATGGGCTGGTCTATACTGCCTGCACGCTCCGGGAGGCAGGAACCAACTGCAAATAGCCACATCTGCAAGTTAAAGGGTCTAATTTGCAATGCCAGATTCACCAAGGCAAAACCTGAGCATAATTGTAATTGTGATTGAAGCTCTATTTAAATACACTTCCTTTCACAAAATATAAAAGTTTATATGCATAATTTTACAAACAAAAAGGGTATTTGTGATAGGTTTCCTAAAATAGATACATTATTCCTAATAAATCATACAAGTATCTCTATTAACTAGAAAAGCATAATTACTTATGAAAATTTCCTGAGCGCACAACAAAAACTGATTAATACTTGATTAAAGTTAGACTTTAAACAAAGCATTATCCTTACTCCACACTGTCAGCATCACAAAAGCATTCAGAGCTCCTTCAGAGTTGACTGCACAGCACGTATAATTGCCGGCATCCTGAAGGAAAACGGGTGTTATCTGGAGCCCTCCAGATTCAAGAAGAATGAAGCGAGGAATCTGAACCGAGCCACTGGCTAAGATCTGGTTTCCTGAAACACAGAAGGGAAAACCAGCATGATTAGTGTCACGTAGACTGCACGGATTAAGCGCTGCAATTCCAGTTCTTCCCAAAGACTATTACAGCCTATCTGGGCCGCTGGCTCACAACAGCCCCACGACAAACCCTCTGCTCGCACAACCGGAGAAATGAAGAAATAGGCACTAAGTGGATCTGCAGAATCTCAGTGATAGGAATGGGCAAGAAAACATGGATTACAGTTTTTCCACAACAAGTTAAGAACTGGCTACCTTTCTTCCATGAGATAGCAGGTTTTGGAGCCCCTGAAACTTCACAGGTTAGCACTGCGGTCATTCCCTCCGTAACAGTGGTATCCTCTGGAGGCTGTATAAATGCTGGTTTAATGTCTAGAATCAAAAATTTAAAAAACTCAATGTATCAGCTATCAGAAAGATCTTTTACCTATTATGATGGACTCCTTTACATCCACTTTTATAGAGCTGATCATGGAGAAGGACATGACAATAATACATGAAAACCTTTCAGCAGTGACAGTAACCTTTCATTATGCATCTCCTAGGAATTGTCTAATTCAGTTTATTATCTCCATGGAAAATAAAAATCTATCAGTGCTTGTAAATGTACAAGTAAGACGGCTTACAGAAAAAGGAAGATAAAGCTCAAAATGAGTGTTTGGGGGGAAGTTGAGAAATCTAGATAAACAAAACTATTTTCTTTCATCTTCATAACAGAGTTCTTTAAGATGAAAAGCGACTTGAGAAAGGCATTAACTTTGAAACCTAAATGTCAGCCAAAAGAATTTAGAACCTGAGTCTCATCCAAGACATTTTCCAAGTTTCTTTCTCTCTTATTTTTCCCCAGTTGCATTTTATTGCATTTTTTTCCCCCCTGCAGTTTCCTAGATATATATGGAACTGATATATCAGATATGGGGCTGATCTATTTTCTGAGGCCAGTAGGAATTCTGGTCAGTATGTATAAACTGCTCTTGGGCTAAAAATCAGCTTCCTGAAGAGGAGTTATCGTATTACAGAAATGCCTGTTAATAATCGCTTTTAAAAGAGACTACTAGGATTTGTAATTCTTCCATAGAGAAGGGTGTACTTCATTAACAAAACCATTTAATCAGACTATTTGGCTAAAAAAAGGACATTTAATTTGTACTTACTTTCTTTCTCCTGTTAAATGTAGTTGTAGACAAAAGCCAGATAAAATGATACCATACACAAGAAGTAGTAGCTCAAATTCAGAGCAGAATTACATTAGAGCAGAACTAAATTATTTAAGTATAAAGGAAAGAGAAAAGTATTTCACAATTAACCTTTCTTTTCACTAAGTTCTCCTTTTGTAGTGTGAAATAGAAGAGTTCACCTCAAACCCCTAATGTCATGGAAAGTTTTTCTACAGGCTTCAGCAGATTGTGTTCAGGTCACAGAGGGCATTTTGGGGTACCTTACAGCTGGGGCAGCTACACTTGACGAAAATCAAGGTTCTACGAGTCAAACTAAGCAAGCACAGAGCGGTGGAGAAATCTGATGGATGTAGGGTCACCTGCAGGAACAACAGGACAACTCATCTATCTCTTATCACAACTCCTTACTCACTCGTCACATCCAGGTAGCTGTACGTCTGTGTCTCCCCGGCTTTATTACTAGCAAAACACTGGAAGATTCCAGCGTCCTGAGGACGCAGCGCCTGGATCCGCAGCCCACCACTCAGCAGCACTTTGTAGCGGGGGTTTTCCAGCTTGCTGAGGGGAACAGAGTCCTTATACCAGACCAGGGTGGGAATGGGAACACCTATATAAGAAAAAAAAAAAAAAAAATTTCATTATTTGTCTTTGTGAAACATGTTTTAGGTAGTCAAAATACCCAGCACTGTTATGGTCATATCCCTGGTTTCCCATCCTTCTACACCAATTATTTATATTTTTACAAGCTGCTTTTGATAAATGGAGGCTGCATCTTACATTATCAATGGTAATAATACACTGCAGAACACGTGGGAATAAAACCAGCAAACAATGAAAGGGGGAATGTTGAGAAAACATGTTATCAAATTACTTTCTTCACCCAATCATATTTCATGCTGCTACAAAATGAGATTTACAGCAATTTCATGTTGAAAGCCAGAATCATGCTACTTAAACAGCAGCAGTGTGGCAATACAGCAAATCTGTAAGACTGTTCCATCCCAAATAAGATTCGTCTGCGCTACTGTATCTAAGAAGTCAAAATAAAAAGGAAATGGCAAATTACACGCAAAAAATGAAGTGCTCACATGGCTGTATTCGAGTCCTAACTTGGCAGTTTGAGTTGATGTACAAACGACACGTTGCCAACAATGGGATAGATTTAAATTATTATTTTTATTCATTCTTGAGCTTCACTTGTTATTTGAAAAATGCAGACACTAGGAGAAACAAAAGTCCCACCCTAGACATAACTTACAGCCCTGTTTATTCCTGGTTATTTTCATGTGCATGTTCTACAAACCCCGACACAGGTATTTCACACGGTTTTGCTAGTCATGTCCCAGTCAGTTGGGATGAAGTGGCTGTAAACAGAGTAGGATTCTCTTTCCTTCGAGAGACATCAGAGGCCTCACCAGTCACACACAGGTGTTCCCATCTCACTCCTCACGTAAGATGATGTTTTATCTTTACATCCCAGAAACCCCGAACTGCTCAAATGCTGAGGGCCCTATGTAGGGACCCGAAGCAAAGCAGATATTTCATTATGTGACTGGATAATCACAGGATGACAAGGGCATCGAGCCAATTTAAGTTCTCTCAGCCCCAAACATGGCATTTGCATAATCGGTAGCTATTTTTACATGCATATCACTTAAAACCTCAGAGCTCCACATTCCCTTGTACTAAGGTAAGGAACTATGGACTTAAATTCATGGGTGTGTGAAATTTGCCTAAATAGAGAAAAGCAGGGTATCACAGAAGCAGTAAGGATGGGATGTCACTGATGAATGGAGCATTTGCAGACAATGAATTTCACTGCAATGTTGGCAATGACTTCAGGTTCTCAGAGCGAAATTGCTACGGGAAGATCTATATTAACTATATTATCATTTTAAAAATCTCAAAGTTAAATACTATCACATTATACTTCCATTCATATCTTCTCTCAGCATACTTATTCTCTTTATACAGACAAAAGATATATTAACTCCTGGAAAGAATTTACAAACAATGTATGGAACGATTGAAAAAACAACATTCGATTGCTGCTGTTACTTTTATAAACACGTATCATTTACTACAATCACCTCTGATGCTTTTGTTCTGCTGATAAAATAAAATGTACTCATAATCTAGAAGGTAATCATTTCAGGAAGAAATCCACGATGTAGAGCACATTGTCTGATAGAGGAGAGAGGTAGTGTAGTAGCTTGCAATAGGTATAATTTAAATTTCATACAACAGCCCATATACAGAATTAGCGTAAATTTCAATGTTCAGAATTCTCGGTGAGAGTGTTATTCATCTCTTGAAAATCCTCCTGGGCAAATACAAATTATCACTGAGTAATGAAGAAACAGATGATGCAAAATGGAATAGTTCTCCTGATGCTGAGAAGCCTGGAAATGATTTCAAGTTTAAATAATAGCAACTCCATTTTCCCACACATTAGACTTGATAGACACCTAGGAAATAATGAAATCCTGCATTCAGTACACTCAAACCTTTAACATTGGTGTCATTCCATAAATCCCATTCTACTAACGGTATTAGCAAACCTTCTAATCCTATAATCACTGTGAGATACACCTTCCTATCACCAACTCAGCTGACAAACTGAATATTACCGTCTCTATTTTTCCACATTTTGGTTACAGATATCTTCCTCTACTCAAAGTTATGAGTCTGAATAATAGGATCTTATCTAAGCACTCTGATGCCTGTCAGCAGCATTCATTTGGGCTTTAGCGATCTTCCCAGAGAGATTTGTCTTCCAGCCTGTACACATTTGCTTTTATCATTTTGCTACCTCTTTGGCTATAAAAAAAGTTAAAACCAGCTTCCTTTCTTCTGCCCCTCTCCTACCCCACAGCCTTTCCTCTCCTCGCACCCCCAAAGGAATTTTCCTTCTTTTCATCTCTAAACACTTCTGGTGAAAAAATTTTGTACAGAAGATGACACTTTAAAGACCTTTTGGACTATACCTTTCCAAGCAGTATCAGTCCTACCTTCCTGTTTTGAGAGATTACACAGTGGCCTAAAAGACTAGTAACAATAAATAAAATAAGCTTATTTCTCAGTGTGTATGCAGCACTATTCATTTTTCACAGGCAAATTAATCTAATGTTCTAGAGGAGAAGGGAATGCAGGAAACAGACTGGTTCTGGCTTTGCCACTTTCTCTGTAACCTTGGGCAAATAATTTATGCAATCCGAGGCTCAGTTTCCCCATCTGTGAAACAGATGCTTGACTCTTTGCCAAATTTAACTTACTGAAGAACCTGGATAAAAGACGCAAAATACTCACTGTGTCATTTTTGTTATTTATTTTGTATAGCCTTCTCTAGATCCCAGTGGGCTACTGGGGAATCCCAAAAGCATCTTTCATCTACTTGTCTAAACAGGTAGAACTAAAGTCCAATTAACTGCACTCCCTAGACACCACCATCACTGCCTGCAGCGCTAAACTTTCTATAAGCAAATAAGAAAAAGCATTTAAAGGAAACCCATTGAAAATGCAGGCAGCATCAGCAACTGCTGAAAGATATACAGCAGAGCATGGTTCCTGCGCCGTCGGATACACTGAGACTCCATTACAGGGAAGTATAAAGCCAGTCTGTGCAAGTGCAATTTTATTTACAGTTAATCTCTGCTTATACTGCGAAATTAATCTGTCTCTCTCACATTCAAAGTGCACCCAGACTTGGCAAATGGGCTTTGTGCACAGAACTTGATGGGGCTGGGGGAAATACAATTTGTCTTCGTATCTGTTGCAACGGTACAGAGCAGCTTTGCAGTTCCCCCATGTGCTTTATTCCAGCTCCTAGCTCGGAGCAGAGACAGCAACCTTCATTTACCCTCTTTTTAACTGCTGGCAATTGCCAGATTTGTGTAATAATACATCAAAACTCCTCTATGTTCAATACTAGTACCTGCCCCTTACAAGTCTGTTATAGATACTAAGCAAAATAATCCATGTGAAGACAAATTTCCATGCTCATGCACCACATTCATCAGCAAATCAGATGTGCACTAGAAAAGTTCAGCAGAAATAAATTATTTTCCCGAGTAAGAGTTCCCATATTTCCAATAAGACCTCATCTACTGAGAATGGTTACGCATTCCCTGCTAATCCCCTTGGGAGCTAAACTGCTCAAAGGAAGAGGTAGAGTATAAGGAAGAGTTAGAAGTCAACCTCTTCTCTCCCTGATTCCTCCAGGTTTTGGGCTGCGTTCTTTTTGTAATACATGAAAAACCTTTGAGACAGCAGATAGGTATTTTCAGCGACCATGAGACATCCCAGAGATTAGTCAAATAGTTGAATAGTATTGAAACATTTTTTAAAAAAAAATCTCAGAATGTTGTTTTAACTCAATTTCTCTAGTGATAAAACATTTAGTTTTAATTCCGCTGTTTGAAAAATCTTTTGCAATTAAAAAAATACAGATATGTTTGTAATACCACATGCTGAAACTTAAAGTTGGTGGCACATAGCCAGAATAAATGTCTATTTAGTCACATTTCCTTCCTTTGAAATTGTCTTTTCTTGGATGCTCAGGCACAAAATGCAAGAACAGCCCAAGGACAAAACACTATTTCCACCTTCTCAGCTCCAGTAATCTGTGCTTTAGCTATTTCCTGAGCAAGAGGTTGCATACACACAGCTGTGTTTAATAGTCCTTACTGGATTTTTTCTTCCATAAATTTTGTTTGGTTTTCTAAATAGCTTTTATTTCTGATCTTAACTGCTGCCCAGATCAATGACCTCCACAGTTTACGTTTTCTGAAAAAGAACTCTCTTTGCTGTACATCCACCTGAAAATTTAGCTGGGTGCCTCCTCTACTTCTTGCACTAAGCAACGCAGAATCATCTTCTACTCACCCTCCCATATAGCACCCACTGCTCGGTCATCTCTTTCACAAAATGTTCTAGTCAATTTAATTTTTCATTATTCAAAACCCATGGTAGACCTCAGATTATACAATCTCTACTTCTCTGTATGTTTTCTAGTTTTTCTACATCCCTCTCTCCAACAGAGTGACCAAAATTGTGTGAAGTGTTTGAGATGGAGGTGCTGCCCCATGGATTCATACAGCGGCATTCTCTTATGTTTTCTCTATTCCTTTCCTCCCAGTACCTGACAGTTTCAACCACGGCTCAGCACTGAACCCATGTTTTCAGAAGACATACCTTTTCTGCATATTAACGGGAAATTTCATCTCTGTCAATAATTTCATCTGCCAGTTTATTTTCCAGTCAGTTCAAATCATCAGAACCTTCTGTGACTCTGTGGTCTGTTTTAATGTTGACTATCTTGAACAATTTTATATAATCAGCAAATATTACCATATTACTATTCACCCTCTTTTCCAGGGCATTTATGAATATGTTGAACAGCACAAGTTCCAGCAGAGATTTCCTGGGGAACTCCATTGACACAGGTCCTGCTGTGCTTCGTTTAAAAAGCTATTAATTAACAACAAGACCTCGTCTCTTATAACCTGATAGCTTCATTTCTATAAGAGCCTTTTGGTAAGAGGCCTCATCAAAGGCTTCTAAAATTCTAAATCAACCAGATTTGAACACATGGTTGCTCATTGCACTAACCTATTTGCAAAGCTTCCCTCTGGAGAAGCAGTGTGGACTCCTTTCTACATAGAGGATAAAAAAATGCTTAAATCATAGTGAAAATACTATAATCATGTAATAACGAATATCTTTATTGGCTCTGATCTGGAGAAAGAACCCGTGCAAACAAGCTGTTAGTTAGGTTTGGGTGTTGTTTTAATCAAGGTTATGTACTTTTTACCGAAGGATCTCATGGCATTTTTATGTGTATTGCTTGTTAAACTCGGCATCATGGAAAGTGAGACAACAAAAAGTTCAGTCTCTTGCCAAAGTCATATAGTAATTGGTGACATACAGAAACCTGCTCTAATCACAAGACTACCATGCCTCCTATCTTTCTAGAGTGCTAAAATAGGAGGTGCTCCTATTTGTCTGGAAATAAATCTTAAAACCCATTTGGGTTAGGTGGAATTCTAAACATTTGAAGCCTTCTAGGTTATTAAAACGCCTGTCAATTAAAACCCGCCTGTAATAGTCCTCCTGCAGAATTCTCAACTACCCTTAAATGTCAGAGTTACTGGCATTTCTATTCAGTGTAAAAGTTCTGTAGGTTTTGAATAAAAGGACATTTGAATTGTTGACAATATTGACTGTTTGCGTTGCAAACGACGAGTTCCAAAACCACACTTTCATCTCAGCTAATTTTCTGGCTCAAGACACTAACGTCTGTTATACAGCAACAACTACGACGCACAGGCAGGCTGCCAGGGGGAAAGAAGCAGGAGTTGCCCTGCCCAACAGACAAACATGAACGTGCTGGCATTACTCATGTCTAAACTAAACCAAACCACAAGGACTGCCCAATTTTCCAAGGGCAAAGGCCGACCCTCTACCTCGTATAGGAATCTGTGGCAGCTAGCAACATTAAAAAGATGAAAAGTTGATGTAAGATGCTTTCTTCAGCACAGAATATACATGAGTCTTCCATCCAAGTTGGAACACGTCCGCACACTCACCCATCGCCTGGCACAGGATGTCCACGTCTTTCTCCACTTCAGCCAAAATCACGCTCTCGGGCTCAGCCGTAAAATACGGCGGTTCTTTAGAAAGGTGAAAAGAAACAAAAGTAAACAAACAAAGCCACAGCTAAACAAAAAATATGTGTTGATTTAAAGATATTCATCGTATCATCTCTTCAAACACGTTGTATTCAGTACAGCGTGTTACAAACAGACTAACTTGTCTGAGTTTGTCTCTATAGAGGTGCTTTCTTGGGTAGTAAAAGCATCATAAAAAAAAGCCAACAGTTTTTCGCTACGCTGAGTATGAATTCCAAAGAGTCAAGTCAATGTAAGGTAAGATTTAGGGGTTTGCACTGCAAATTAATACTCAGAGCAGGGGCTACTTTTCATTTTATAGGTCTGAATCATGGAACATTTTAATTCTTCGCTCAGAAGGGCCCTCCCGAGAGGTTTATAAAGGTTTATATTTACAACGTAGCATTTTATAGGATAGTTTGCTTCAGTATCTAAACTAAATTCCACCTCGTGAAGACATGAAGCATGTCAAATAAAGTGCCATAGCATGCCAGAGACCCGACATCAGAGGATAAGTGCAGCATAATTAAAAAAAATTCTTCTCAACTGTTTTATTTCTTGAAAGCAAACAGATTTAATGCTTTAATTGAAGTTATAGTAATAATCATAAAAATCCACACTTTATCATTAGGACTAAAGAAAAGATATTAGACGTTTAATTAAAGAAAGACAAGATTCCAGAAACTGTAGAGTATGCTGTCATGTAACTCTTTCTTCTATGCAGCATAAAATTGAAGAGCATCATGTCAAAGTCCCACAGGCATTAAGGTTGCAGTAATTATCATGGTAACTAAAAACTGTCATAGTCTGTTCAATGCAATTATCATCTGAGTACTGTTTTTAGAAGCATTTTATTTGATTATAACTAGAGTGCTATTGTACCATAGACAAACTCACTGGTAAGTTTTAGAAAATATAGGAGAGACAATGGAAGTAGCTTGTGAGAACAATTTAGTTAAATTTTCATTTTAAGGAAAAAAATGTTTCCAAAAAATGTAGTAAGCTACAACAAGATCCAAGGTTATCTGAGCTGACCTTGTCTCAAGTATCTTCACCAACCATGTCTGAAAACAAGACGTGCAGTTTGTATTATTTATAGGACATTATTATTTTCATAAATAAAACCAAAATCACATCATTTTATCCTGCAAAATCTTATTTCTCTTGCTATCACCTGTAGCATAGTACATGTTGCTAGCAGTTCACAGGGATGACATGACACGTCAGCAGGTACACATCAGTAAGCACTGGACTAGAACGCAAAACTCCCTTTTCCCAGCACTCCTTCCCACTAACTACAATAAAATACTTGCTTGAGTGTACAGAACTAGGGTCTCATTTGAGCACCAATGGATATTACAATTCTGTATTCATTCCAAATCAAGTCAATCAATATTAGTCCTCAAAATCCTGTGCAAAGAAGGAGGTGAGGTTGTAAAATAGCCTGGAATACTCATTTACCCAGCAAAACCAATGAAACAAGCTACCTGATTTATTACATTCTAATAATATACACGTGTTAACATTATTGATCCTCACTGCCTAAATATAAAGCTATTAATAAACATGCATAATAAGTTGTGATTTATTGCGTATGATCTCATACGTTAATCTAAACAACAATTTGGAAAGCTGAACATTTAATTGAAATTCACTGATGGCACACTCTTTGACATGTTTGATCAACTAAGTTGCTGAGTCCTCTGCAATTCATCTAAGTCCACATTTAACTCTGAGCATGCTCTTGCTTCTCATGCCGTCCTCCAAGCCTTGTCTGATGTTTACTTGTGCTCCACATTCCAGAATTTCATCTTCTTAATTTCCAGAATTCTGGCCTAGTGTCCATCCTTATTTATGTATCTGTTTGTGGACACACAAGGAAATGTCCATCATCCATCTCTCAAACTAAAATTTGGATCTTTCATTTTATGTCAAGTTAATTTGATTGTGAGGGGAGACAAAGGGGAAAAGTGGCCAAAGTGGTACAGGAGCAAGACAACATCCAGACATTCTCTTCTACCTTTGGGCTTCTTCTGTGGATGTCTCTTCAGTCAGCGAGGTTCAAGTGTATTTTCCAGCTTTTAGGGAGTTCCTCACTGCTCATCTTTCACCCTCGCCTTTATAAGGCACTCTGACCTTAACGGGCCAATTTCTAAACTCGCAACCTTCAGCTACCAGCTCTCAAACATTCTCCTAGATTAGCAACATATTCACACACCAGTGATAAATTTGCAAATTTATCTTCAGCACAGGCCTGTGGTCCAACTGCAAAACACTTAATGTGACCTCAAAGATGCTAGTGATTCCATGACCACTGCTTACGTGCTGCTGTTGCACAGTTTTCTGCAGTGATACTTGGCATATTTATGCAGTCTGCTTTCCCAGTGCCTCTCCCAAAATCCTATCCTACAATCTGTGCTCCTTCCTTTAAATCCCATACAGGCTGCTATGCCACCCTCGAAAAAACTTATTACATTAAGAGATGCTTTCGTGAGCAGGTATCAAGCAACGAATTACCTGACACGGAACTTGAAGTCAGTGACAACTGTCACTTAGCAAACGGGATGTGATGTTAAAAAAGGAAGATTCACATCAGCTTTTTTTGAAAGCAGCAGGGAGAAACAGAAGCAGACATGACAGAAAAAGAGCAGGAGCAGCAGAAAGATGCAATCTAAAGGCCACAGGTAATTCCCAGAGGACTTTCAGGATGTAGGTGTGCCAACAGATGATTTCCTGTCTTCATCAAGC